CACACACTGCTTTTTTGTCCCTGGACCTTCATACAGGTTGCTCCTCTGCCTACATCACTGCACTCTTCATAGGGCTTACTCTTACTCTTCTCTTGGATAACAGTTTAAAAGATTCTTTTTCTGAAAAATCTTTCTGATACATCTACCCCCACATCTAATTCTTTAAAAACACCATCAACATAAAAAATTAAGCAGTCCTTTTATGTGTTCCATAGCATCCTATATTTCTTCAATCATATCACTTATCAACCTATCTTACAAAATAAATTCTGATGACACACTCTTGTTTCTGTCTAGTTTCCACCACATGACTTGGCACTAAGTACTTGTCAAATAAATAAATTATCTGCCAGAACTGCAAGTTTTGTCTGTCTTAATTTATCTGTTTAGTAATGGATGTAACATGCAAATTATGCCCCAGTAAAAACAGCCATTAATTTTTATAACATATAAAGGACCAACAAACTATGTAAAAACACAAAAAAGACTTTGTGTTTGAAATGGCTATACAATACTTAAGATTTTAAATTTATAGTAAAGTATAATAATTTGCTATTATTATGATTTACTAATTACATACACCTACTTACATTAATATCCAAGTTTTACTTTTTCCTAGAAAATATGGTAAACAAAATATATACTAAGACATGAAGAAATTCATGAGATTTATCTAGCTATAGTGTAAAAACTTCACTCCAAGCTATTTTATGTGACATCAAGTTGTATCGATTCTAAGAGAACCTTGAAATCCACTCATCTTTATAAACGTTAAATATGATCATTTCTAAAACAATGGTAGTAATAAAGAATTTGACTTTTTTATCAAAATTTTTTCAGAAGTACTTTCATTCTCATTGTTGTATTTTATAATAGAATATTTCAGATGATAGACATTTGCCCAGAACAAGAGGAAAAATTGAATTTAAACAGCAATAACACTTTACACAGTGAGTTTTCACCTGTACTAACAACAGGCCTGACCAGTGTGGCTCAGTGGTTGAGCATCATCCCATGTACCAAGAGGTCGCTGGTTTGATTCTTGGTCAGGGCACATGATGGGGTTTTGGGCTCGATCCCCAGTAGGGGGCATGCAGGAGGCAGCCGACTGATGTTTCTTTTTCATCGATGTTTCTCTCTCTCCTTCTCCCTCTCCCTTCCCTTCTCTCTAAAAATCAATAAAACATTTTTTTTTAATTTTTAAAAAGAACAGAAATCAGGATGCACAACATGCTACACAGTTAACTTTTAGAGGAAAAGTTTATCTTAGTCCTCAAATATGTGGATATCAATATAGTACAAAGTCCTAAAGATTGGTGCCATAACCCAAGAGTTTTAATGAAACTTATTCTTATTCATTAATGCCTAAAGATTAGCATGATAGTAAAATAGATACCATTTAATTATAAAACCTACCATACACTTCTATAATGCACAAAATGCATTATGTATTTGTTGACAATAAATTCTGATACACACTCTTGTTTCCTCCTAGATAACAAGTTTCCAAAGGCATTTTTTCCCCCATATAGGATGGTATATTTTAGTCTTCACACATTCTGCTCTACAACTATTCACTTACAAGAGCTTTTTCCACCCAGTAATATATGTGTCCTTGGCTACTAATGCAATCTTTTTTTTTTCCTTTTTTTTTTAAAAAAATATGTCTTTATTGATTTCAGAGAGAGGAAGGGAAAGGAAGAGAGAAAGATAGAAACATCAATGATGAGTTGTCATTGATCAGCTGCCTCCTGCATGCCCCCTATTGGGGATCGAGCCCACAACTGGGGCATGTGCCCTGACCGGGAATCGAACTGCAATCTCCTGGAACCTAGGCCAATGCTCAACCACTGAGCCACGCCCCGCCGGGGACTAATGCAGTCTTCTTATTCATAATAAAGGTCAGTACAGCAGCCTCTATAGTACATTTACCATCTCTGCTGTATGATATGTAACCATAGGCTCTGTACTTTTTCTCAAATCATATTTTCATATAATGACATTTGTTTCCAGTTTATACTTTCTTACCAAAAATAACAACTGCCCTCTCAACATTAATGAAAGTTTTCTCTCTCACTTAAGGAATACTGTACTAACTAAAAACAGTTTTACTATTTGCATTTCACTGTTTTTATACAGAATACATCAACTCTTAGGCTTAGATCACCACCAAATTGGACATTTCACTCTTTTATCATTTAAGAGTAACTTATTAGGAGAATTACATAGGGAAGATCCAAAAGACTCCACCTAATAGACATAAGCTAATGATTTTATGGCTGATCTTATTTTATAACTATCTAATACCCTGTCCTCTTCCTCATCTCACCTATTTTCTCTAAAATATGTATAAAATAAATTCATCAACACAGTAAATACAATCTGAAAGAATCTTCTTGTTAAGGCTGCTAGCTGGCCTTTTCCTGATAACATTACTTCAAAGCCACATATATCTTTCTTTGTTCTATACAAAAGAATCAAGCTGATTTGATCAAGTTCCCTGTGAAGGGTCTCATATGAATTTATATACACAATCAATCTTAAACCAAAATATCAGACTATCCCAACTGATATATAAAAAACAGAAGCCCATATAGAATTTAAAGTATAAAGAAATGCACGCTAGTAATTAAGAGAGTTATAACCATCAAATTGCTTTGGGAAGTGGGGTAAGTCATAGCATCCTTTTTTTTAAATCCAAATCAAGGAAACAGGTTCCTTAACTCAGGGATCTCTAATGACCAGGGTTAGAATACAGGCACATCTCATTTTATTGTACTTCATTTTACTATACTTCGCAGATATTGCATTTTTTACAAATTAAAGGTTAGTCCTCCCACCAGCAAAAATATTATAATTTGCTAAAGGCTGAGATAATGGTTAGCATGTGTTAGAAATAAAATAATTTTAAATTAAGGTATGTACATCATTTTTCCAGACATAATGCTACTGCACACTTAACAGACTCAGCATAGTGCATACATAACTTTTATATGCACTGGGAAACCAAAAAAATTCATGTGACTCACTCTATTGCAATATTCGCTTTATTGTGGTGGTCTGGAACCAACCCCAAAAGGTATGCCTGTACTGTCAATAGACTGAATTGAAGGTACACAGGTCACCAGATTAATGATCTAATTTGTTCTTGAGTGAAATTAAACATGAAAATATAGTGGTGAATCTCATCATTAGTCAAGTATCACTATTAAGAAAACAAAATGCATACGCTGTAAAGATAGCAAGTCATCCAATTTTTTGGCATTTAAGATAAATATAGTTGAGATTGGATACTTGGTCTGTGACAGCTCTTGCATGTGAGACTAGTGAACCTAGACTTCTTTTAACAAGCAACAAAGAGTTATAAAAAAGTTATTGAGCAGAGAAGTGACAATACACATTAGAAAAATATAGTAATGCAAAATGGAAAAATGCTCAATAAAGTTATACCTTAACTTTAATGACAGACCATCCTCATTACCAAGGTACTAAGAAGCTCAATTCACTTGATGATGTTTGAAATGTAGAAAGCAGACTCTAGACACTAAATAATGTTCTTTTGCTCATATAAAGTACAATCTTTATAAAACAGTGTGTATAAAGAACAAAGTAACTTTATTTACAAACTGAGAAAATTATTTATACTTGTTATTTTCAAAATTTACTCAAGAATTCTTCATTAAAAATGGTTAAAAATTCAAAATAGATCCAGAGACATAGAAGCATGGAACGGACTGACAAATCTCAGAGGGAGTAGGTAGGGAGAGATTAAATAAAAGAACTTACATGCGTACATGCATAACCCACGGACATAGACAACAGTATGGGGAAGGCCTAGGGGTGGGGTCAGATGTGGGGTGGAAGGGGACATCTGTAATACTTTCAACAATAAGGATAAATTTTTTTTAAATGGTTAAAAATTAAGCTCTGATTATTACACTCAGCAAGAAAAGGTATTCAATGGTTTGACGTAAATCAAACTACTCAATTATTACTTACCAATAAGATTTCTCCACAGACAACAGCAGAATAACCCTTGAACTTTGCAAAAGATATAAAATGCAAGAAGGATCCCAGAAATGAAAACATATTTGGTCATTTTAAATTATTCTGGGAAAACTTGTTATTAATTGTACAATCACCTAACCAGAGGCACTCTTAGATAATTTAGTCCTAATAGTTTTGTTAACTCTAACCTTATTAACTTACCACATCATTTATAAAAGATTTTTAAGAAATATAAAGCAAACTAGGCCTGATTTTCTTTACATTTTTTAAAGCCACAAAAGTATTAATAAGAATTTTAGTTATTTCTTCTATACTTCCTTGAAAACATAAACGAAACATACTTACTGTTGGTTTTTTTCATTTAATGTATTCATGCCCTGGAGATCAGAAAGAGGTGTTCTGGGATTTTTCCGGGTTATACCTAGCATATAAAAAGGAAAAGTTTTTAAATAAGTGCTAAGAAAAACTAAACATAAAATAATATTTCCAAGGACAAATGAAATTAATGTACTTTGATAGTAAATATTTGCTAACCGTGTCAGAAATAGCTAAATAATAATATGAAGCAAGTCCCATGGCTGTTACTTACAAATCTGACTTAATCAACAATGAACCCAATTAGGGAATTTAATAATAAATTCTTCTATTTCTTCTCTCATTTAAACATGATTAGGAAATACAAGAGTAACTGGGCCAAAGGTCTAAAAGTATAATTACTTATGTTAACATTCAAAATATTCCTAATGATTCCTTTGTATCATTTTTCAGCAATAAGCATATTGCTGACATGGACTATAGATTTTAAAGATCAATTAATCTTACATATAAAAACACTGAGAATCAAAGATGACAAATTGCTTCCTTAAGGATTATCAGTATTTTTAAGTTTTCATTTTTCTCAAATCATGCAATAAACATTGAAGTTCTATAAGCATATGGGTATTAATTTTCATAATATACACACACAAAGACATTTACAATAGGTAAGACACATTGAAAGGAAGAAGTGAAAGTTTCTCTATTCAAGATAACAACCTTATATGTAGAAAATCCTAAGTAATCCACAAAAAACTATTAGGACTAATAAATGAGTTCAGTAAAATTACAAAATATAAGATCAATATTCAAAAATTAATTGTATTTCTATATAATAGCAATAAACAATCAGAAAATGAAATTAAGAAAACAATTCCATTAATAACATCAATATAAAAGAAATAAATTTAACAAAAAAGTATAAAATGTTTATACCAAAAACAACAAACATCATTAAAAGAAATTTAATCTAAATAAATAGAATTCCATCCATGTTCATGAACTGGAAAACTTAACGTTAAGATGGCAATGCTTTCCAAATTGATCTATGGATCTATGCAATCTCTATTAAAATTTCATCTGCCTTTTTTTACAGAAATGAATATACTGATCCTATAATTAATATGTATATGCAAGAATAGCCAAAACAAAGTTGAAAAAGAAAAACATGGTTGGAGGACTCACACTTCCTGAATTTGAAACTTACTACAAAGAAATAGTAACTGAGACAATATGGTACCAGCATAACAATAAACAAATATATCAATGGAAAGAGACTGAGAATAGAGAAATAAACCTTTACATTTACAAAAAACTGAATTTTGACAAAGGTGCTAAGACAATTCAATGAAAAAGAATTTCATTTCTTCATTTCCTAAGTCATGGACACCAATTTCCCTGTGACAAATTATCATTGTCTATCGCTATATCCATTATTTTCTTCTGCATATTGAAACAATGATCTTAGGCCTTTCTCAGTATTAGTAATTCAGTTTTCAGCTCTTTCCTCTACTTCTCGAGCTCATACAGGTGTTGCTTTATACCTCTGCTTGTTTTAGTAGCTCAATACTATTTTCAAGATCATATTGATATTTTATATCCTCAAATGTGTGCTACTGCTTTATTGGATTCATGTTCTTAAATTCTTCTATACTGTAGCCCGGCGGGCATGGCTCAGCGGTTGAGTGTCAACCTGGGATCCAGGCGATCGGGTTTCGATACCCAGTCAGGGCACATACCCGGGTTGCGGGCTCGATCAATGACTTTCTCATCATGTTTCTATCTCTCCCTCTCCTTCTCCTTTCCTCTCTCTGAAATCAATAAAGATATATTTTTAAAAAATAAAAATAAAAAAATAAATTCTTCTATACTGTTAAGTGCTCACAGGGAACTTTCTTCCCTTTCTTGGGAATATTTTTCCTGCAAACAAAATAAGGTGTTTCTTTTAAGGTGGTTCTTTTATTCATATTATGACTTCCTTATTCCCCTCTGTTTAATGATTTTAATACCAATTATTAAATATTTTAAACATTAAAAAGGCATAAGGAATAATATACTGAACACTTGCAACTGATCACGCAGATTAGAAAATGAAGCCCAGTGCACCACTCTGATCCCATCCCAACAGCATCAGATCCCAACATTGATTACTTGTTGGAATTACCATAAAAGAACTTTAAACAGCTATCATAATGTTCAATGACTTAAAGTAGAAGATGATCTTATTGAGTTAACAGATAGGAAATCTCAGGAAAGAAATAGAAACTAAAATGGAACCAAATGGATATTCTGCAACTAAAAACTGAAATTTTGTGAAATGAAAAATTCATTCCATGCCCAGCCGGGTGTGGCTCAGAGGCTGAGCGTAGACTTAGGATCCAGAAGATCAGGGGTTCGATTCCCAGTCGGTGCACATGCCTGGGTTGCGAGCTGCAGCCGATCAATGACTCTCTCATCATTGATGTTTCTATCTCTCTCTTTTCCTCTCCCTTCCTCTCTCTGAAATCAATATAGTTTTTAAAAAAATAAAAAGAAAAAAAATTCATTCCATGAGTTTAAGAAAAGACTTGAAACAGCATAATGAACTTGAAATCAGAACAGAAATAGAAAAAAAATAAGTATGAGGAATATGAGACAATATCAAATATTCTGAGATCATGTAATTGGTATCTCAGAAGGAAAAGAAAAGTTGGAGCAGAAAAATTTTTTTGAAAAGTTATTGGCCAAAAACTTCCTAAATTTGATAAAAAACAATAAAGCACAGGTCCAAAAGGTGAAGCAAATCCCAAACAGATAAATATAAATATTTAGGGGCATCACAGTCAAATTACTGAAAATCAAAAGATAAAAAGGAAATCTTGAAGCAACCAGTGGAAAAAACAGGTGCGTTAGATATGAAAGAATAACAACAGGATGAATTTGAGTTTATCATCACAAATAATGTAGAGGGAAAAAACGGAACAACATCCTTAAAGTGGCAAAAGCTTGATAGTTCCTAATAATGTTAAATATGTCTACTTTATGGCACAGTAATTCCAATGGTAAGTTTTACCCAAAGAATGAAAATATATGTATACAAAATGACACAAATGAGAATGTCTGGATAGCTGGATCCCTCACGATAGCTCAAAACAGTACACAACCTTTATATCCACCAAGAAATGAATGATAAACACAAAGTTGTGCATACAACTGTGTATATGTGTGTATACACACAATGGAATAAAAGTCAGCAACAGATTACTGAGATATGAAACAACACAGACGAATATGTATAGCATTATGTTGAGTAACATCAGAACACTAAATATATACTGTATGATTCTATTTCTGTAAAATTTTTAGAAAAGGCAAAACTAATTTATATAGCAAAGGAAATGGTTTTTTTTAAATTATGGAAATCTTAACAAAAGTTGCCTAAAGGAGCTGGGAAAATATACAAGAGAGCATGAATAAGTTTTCTGATACAATTTGATTCCAATCCTATTTTTATCATTTTGTGTTCATGTTTTAGGTTTGTCTCTTATCTTTATAGCTAAATATTACTTTTTGTACCTAAAAAATCTTGTTTGGTTCATTTTAATTTATTGGTATTGCCCTGGCCAGATGGCTCAGTTGGTTAGACTGCCATCCCATACACCAAAAAGTTGCAGGTTCAATTCCGGGTCAGGGCACATACCTAGGTTGAGGGTTTGATCCCTAGTCAGGGCATATGTAGGAGGCAACTGATCGATGTTTCTCTCACATCAATGCTTCTCTCTCTCCCTAAAATCAATAAAAACATATCCTCTGGTGAGGATTAAAAAAAAACATTGTAAAAAAGTTAATTTTTATGTATAAGGGTCAAAATTCTCTTGTAATATAAAGATATCCAATTGTTCCAGTGCCATTTGTTTAAAAGATGATATACTTTACCCCACTGAATTATCTCAGCACCTTGTGGAAAATCAATTGACTATATATGTGTAGATCTACTCCTGGACTCTTTACTTGGTTCTATTGATCAGGTTCTATTAATCCTTACTTACACTGAGAACAATGTCATGATTATTTTAGTCTTGAAATCATATAGTGTAAGTTCTCCAGCTTTATTCTTTTTTAAAATTATTTTAGTCATTCTAGCTAGTCTGTATTTCTATATAAATTTTAGTTATCAGCTTATGAATTTCTACCAAAAAATCTGCTCTGATATTCATTGGGATCATGCATTTAATCTGCAGATCCATTCGGGAGAGAACTGACATCTCATAAAAACAAAAACATGTGCCAGGCGTGGCTCGGCAGTGAGCATCGACCTAGGATCTAGGAGGTTGTGGTTCGATTCCCAGTCAGGGCATATGCCTGGGTTGGGGGCTCGATCCCCAGTTGGGGGTGTGCAGGAGGCAGCCAATCAATTATGACTCTCCCATCATTGATGTTTCTATCTTTCTCTCCCTCTCCCTTCCTCTCTCTGAAATCAATAAAGATATATTGTTTTAAAAAGCACGTACCTATCTTCACCTATTTAGGTTTTACATTTCTCTCAGTTGTACAGTCTAATACATATTTCGTTAAGTTTACCCCTACGTAGTTCATGTTTTGGTATGTTATATTATTGTCCACTGCATATTAAATTGCTCTAAAACCTAGCACTTTAAAACAACAAACAGTTATCATATCAGAGGAACAGATTTCAAGAGCTGCTTAGCCAGTTGGTTCTGAAAAGGTCTTTCATGAGGTTGTATTCAAGCTGTCAGCCAAGGCTGCAGTCATTTCAAGGCTGGGCTAGAACTAAAGGATCCACTTCTAAGGTAACTCATGTAGTTGGTGGCAAGCCTCAGTGCCTGCTAACTAGAGGGTTCAGTGGAATTTTTAATACGGCTACCTGCAAATGGCAGTTTGCTGCTCTTAGAGACAGTGAACAGAGAGACAACTAGGAAGAAATTACTTGGAAACTGCAGTCCTTCATAACAATTTCAGAAGCGACATATTATCACTTCTATGTCCTATAGGTCACATAGACCAACACTAGTAAAATGTGAGAGGAGATTACATAAAGTTGTAAATACCAGAAGATGAGGATAACTGGGGTTATCTAGGGAGCTGGCTGCTATAGATGTATAGATG